TAAATACAAAATATTGAATTAATTATTTAAAAAAATGAAACATTTTAATTATTTAATTATTTAATATTTTAATTATTACGTTTCTTTTCTTAAGTATTATCTTTTATTTGAAGTGTTCATTAATTAAAAACGAATACAGGAATCCGGGTCCCGAATTATTGGAGCTGAGATCAGCGCTGGTGGATCATAAGCGAGGTAACATGATGGGGATTCCCGTGAAATTACATTATGATAACAATCGTCGGGTCAACCTTGAGAAACGTGACTATTTTTATGCGCCCCTACCTGGCACTCCATTTGGTCTTGCGGTTGTTTTACCTAATTATGGAACTACCTGGATTAAGGTAGAAGCAGCACCAGAGCAATTTTATTATCTTTTTTAAACAATTGCATTTAAAGTAATTCTATGCAATTAATTATACTAATTAATATATTATATACAGCATAAATTGTATCAAGCAATAATTAATTATACATGCAATTATGCTCATGGTATTAAATGCGTGCTCAAATAATCGTATGTCTAATTTTTTAAGGTCGGCGATGAGATTCGCAGAAATCAGAATAAGAATGTGAATGTGTCGGATTATTTTGTGGGCGATCATTGGCGCGTACATCCTAGCTGGGTATATTGTCGTTACCATTATTTGGAAGGTCATGAGTTCAATAAGCCGGAAGACGAGTTGCGTCATTTCTTGGCGCTGATGAGCCGACCTGGTTGGCGCTGGTCTGAGCAATATGAGGCTTATTCATCTATAGATGAAGATCTTGATGAAGAACCCAACTGTGGCAGACAAACGCTCAAGCACGATGACTATTATTGCAATAAAGAACTTATGCAGTTGCTTGTATTTGATGCCAAGGCAACGAACAACAGCTTCCGCGGTGACTATATGGAGAATTTATCTTCAAGAGCTCGGGATCTCGCACATAACTACGGTATCTTTATAAGATTTATCGCGACGCAGAGCGGGCTTACCAGGTGGCATCATCTTAAAGTCAGCAAACTACCGAATGTGGACGACAGTATTGTTTTCGGTGATCTTCATAGACGAGCAGTGAATGAGCCTTGGTACAAAGGCGCGATCTTTCAAAGTGAACTAGATTCCGAAAGTATTTCTTTATCTGGTAAGAGTTATATTCATTGTGGATAAGACATAGAATTTTTTTATAATTATGTTGTGTGTTTATGTGTATTTTTTTTTATCAATCGTGAAATCATACTTGTATGATACAAGTTTTTAATGTGTGTGTTCTTCATTAAATTTAGATCCAATCAATAAACGTTTTGATCCATCTTTCGGATCCTCTAATATAATTTAACGCATACAAAATTCTTCTGCATAAATTATATCTATCCTTAATAAATTGATCTCTTTTAATGATAAAAACGTTGTAAAGTATAATACAAGAATATAAAATTTCATCTCTTCTCTGATCACATTATACTTCGCAAGGTTTTTTACCATTAAAATCAACTTATTGCGGATGGACAATATATAGGAGAATTTTGTATACATTAAATTACATTGAAGAGGATCCGAAAGATAGATCGAAATGTTTGTTGATTGAATCTAAATTTAATAAAGAACATACACACTAAAAAATTTTGTGTTGGCTCATATAGACATGATTTCACTATTGATTTAATTTAGCTGAGCCTGAAATTATTAAATATTTTTTTTTAAATCATCTTTTATTTTAATCATTCTGTGATTGATTTAAAATCAACATTTATATAATTACTTATTATTATATATGATTTGAAAATGAATAGTAGTATAATATATAAAACAAAATATCATTGCAGTTCCATGGGAAGCAGGCGCGGACGCGATAGTGACTGCTTCGATGAGCTTGTCGCCTAAGGATGGCGGCAAGAAAGCGCCAGCGGCTGTAGTGGGTTTTCAGATGCCGATGAAAGATCTGTACAAGCAGTTCATTGCATTGACCTCAGACAATCAGACGACGAATACGATAATAAATTGTGCCCACAATTGGATTGACTGCTATTTGCTAGACCAAAACGGCTATGTAGTGATCTCAGACGCACATAATGACACCGGACAATTTATGGGCACTCAGGAAGGTGCCGTCATGTTATCTATGGTCAAACAGGGTCTTTACAATCCGGTCGACATCTATGATTATCAAGCATGGTGTCAGGAGAAAGTAAGTAATATATGTCAAAGAATAATATGATAATCGACAAAAATAATAATTATATTAAAAGCACTTATTATAATTAAAAAATAATAATTAAATTAAAAGATTATATTTAAGTATATTTAAATAATATTTAAAAAATAATATTAAAAATATTAATTATATTAAAAGATTATATTTAAATATAATAATAATATATTATTCTTTTATTATTATTCTTTTTATTTAAAAAAAGAGAGTGCTTTTTTATGGAAATGCAAATTGTTTCAGCGAATCGATAACTCTGCCAACAGCTTAATGGAACCGTTGCAACATATTGCAAGATTGTTGCTTTGGTTTCTGTTGCGGTTGATATGGTACGCGACCCAGTTTGTAAATTTGCCTGGCATTTACGGCAAAGTCCACTTCGATGAGGATGCACCAGATCCGCCGCCGCCACCAAAATCCTATCTTTATCACTATCCCTGTGATCAAAAGCGAACACTCTATATGTTGAACGAGACTGTTGCTGCTAAAGGCGTCACCAATCACTCCGATTACTGCTCGCGGCCTTTTTATGCCCAGAGAGTAAATATTTTTTATTTTACTTGATAAGGAGGATAAAATTTTACGATTTTTATACATACTAAGCAAACATTACAAACATATTTTTATCTATTAAAAACTTATTTTATGTCTTGTTTGCAATTATTAACATTTTGCTTTAATTTTGATAAGTGGCTTTAAGCAGTTTCTAATGAATGAGATAGAGATTTAGCATGTGTAAAACTGTAATTATCATACAAATATCATACTTTTTAAGACAATCTTAACACAATCATTATGTTAATTAAACACAATCATTATGTTATTTACAAAGAAGTACGTGAATTAAAAATGATTACTTGTGCATATTATTGTACTATCACAATTTGATATCAATTGATGAATTATACAATTTATATATTTACAATGCATTAGAATAATGCATTTAAAATGATTAATGCATTTAAAATGATTAATTGGATTAGCATGATAATTATTGAACATTGACGAAAGAATGAAGTAATGAATGCATCGAAATTTTTAATATTAAAATCAAATTAAAACAGATTTATAAGAAACTATTTCTTGATTTATTGATGAAATTTTTGATATATATTTTTTATTAACATATTTATTCTGTTAAATTAATTGATGACAATTTTATATAAAAGATATTATATTGCATAAATTACGTGCGTATAATATAATACAATATAGCAATCGAATAGTTTTAAAAAAATAATCATCTGTATTAATTTACAGGTTGCACATACTAATCTATTGCTAGTGGTGGTGGACAGCATGTATCCAACGTGCTACAAAAGATTAGAAGTAACACCTGTCAACATCTCACCCCTCGAGTATACAAATAGCACGGGCGACAAACCTTGTCACAAGATTCCATTGAACACTCTAAAAAGGCGCAGGCTGAAGAATTGCTTCACAGAACATCCTCTGGAGCACGTGACTTACGGTTGCGGAACATCTGAATTGATGGTGTCTTTATCATTGTTATATATCACTGTTGCTAGGATTCTGTACATCTTCATATGATGGCAAATTAACCATCCTTGATATATGGTAACTGTATTGTTTTACAGTAAATAATAAGATAATAAAAAATGAATAAAATGACACAAGAAATATAAATATTTCTCTCTCAAAACTTGATAGATATTTTTCCCTCATAAATTATTTAATAAAAAATAGCTATATATATATATATATATATAATTCTTTAATATAGAATATTAAATAATGCTCATTTAAAATAGGTACATATTAATTCAATTTTGAAAACATTTTAGCAGGTATTAGTAGTGTATCTCTTTATTTTTGTGATACTTAAGCCGATATTTATTATTCGTTTTTATTACAAGATTGTCTTGAGTAATATCTCAACATGGATCTGTGATTGGTTTATGACATCCCAGCAAACGAGAATGGATTAAAATGAATTGAAATTTTTTTCTAACCAAATGCATGTGTATTTTAAATAGCGAATTTTGGATTTAATTGTGGATTCAATTGAATTCAATTAGATTTAATTGGCTGCAATTAGATTGAAAAACTGCATTTTCTATTCAAAATTTTGAATTGAATAGTATTCACAATGCACAGAAAAAGCTAATATTATTTTTAGATTGAGACATAGAGATATGCTCTATGCAGTTCCTATAAATGAATAAAAATGCATTCAGGATTGAAAAGCATTTATTTTAACATTCGTAATCAATATTTTTGAAAATCTGAATCCATTTCAATCCATTCTCGTTTGGCATCTTAAAACTATTCTAGACGATCTTAAATATAAGAACACTAACTACGAATACCGGCCTTAAATAAGAAATAAATATTTTTAAACTAAATTTTCTTTTCTATTGTTTTCACAGATCTTTTATTCAAGAAGATATTCTATTGTGGCTTATATTATCCGAAGTAGAAAAGAAAGGCAAAGGATAATTTTTGTGCGTTATGATACAACACTTAGAAACGACATACATATACGAAATAGTACACATCGATGATGCACCAAATTTGATGAACGATTTTTATTAACGAACATATCGTCCAAAATAGTAACAAATTTAACAATAATAAATTTTATTTCTTAATTAACACCCTAACGATTATTGTACTTTCCTGATAGTCGAACACACTCAAGAGATACACAATCCAATCAATTCTGATTAATTCTGATAGTCGACAGTTGTCGTAGTCACGCGTCGCTTGCTCGTGTTTTCCATGCGCAAGCCTGGTCGGAAAATCGATAAACCTGAAAAGCGTTTATAGGCTCCGCGTGAGTCGCTACCAAGTTAGTGAGTGCGCATACGACGACGGCGACGATCGACGTCGAGCAGAACGATCGTAGTCGTCATTCTTGATGTGAAACGCGAGCCTTAATTTTATTTACCGTGTCTTCGCGCACGAACAATCCCTCCTAAAGCGGACCAAGGCGGCCAGCAGGTGATCAGGGAAAGTTATGAGGTCCTGCTTTATACCTGTCATCGTCGTTCTGATCCTGACCGAGGTACCCGATCGTAGCGACAGCATTTCCCATAATATGTAAGTACCTCGTGGCCTGGCAATCATCTGTCTACCTTTGTTTCTGTAATCTCTTGCGGTACAGTATTTTTTAGTTCTATGGCAATAACACAAACTCGATTGATCCGTATTCATTTACAGTAACGAAGCGATAAATAATATTTAGGTCAACCGTGAAGGACTGTGTCTCTTGGAATCGTTGTAATGACGGCATGTTCCACAAAAGATGTACTTTTGGAAATAAAAAAAAATCTTGTGAAAATTGCTTAATTGTTTAGCAAATATTTGTTTCGCGAAAATTATTATTACAATCTCATTATTATTGAGAATTAATTTATTAAATATGAACTGGATTTGTGTGTGTGTGTGTGTGTGTGTGTGTGTGTGTGTGTACTCCAAATTTATATGAACGCGTTATCTTTTTTCAAAAAATTAGAATAACTTTTTTTTCATTTACTCATATAATATAAGATAAGAGTTATGATTCATCACTTCATTTAGAGGAATCGATTTTTTTTATGAATGAGATAACTCGTTTCTTTAGATTGCTGTTGCAATCAATTAAATTATCATTCACATAATTTTGTTATCCTATGAACAAACTGTTTTTATTCCATTTTATTAACTCCGCAATATGAAAAAATATTATGAACAAAAAATAACATACGACAATACTAATCTTTTATAAATAAAATAGTAATAAAGTAAATGTTTTTATCCAAATTTTTCTACAAAAATTATTATTATTTTAAAATTATTATCATTTTTATTTAAAATTATTATTTTAAAAATTATTATTATTTTAATGATTATTTTACTCTTTTAATTGACAGAGTGAAAGGATGGGCGCACAAACTGGGCTTCGAGCTGTCACAATTAGGCAAATTCGTGACGAAGGTGGAGAAGTTCAAAGACGGCTACAAGACGGCGGATATCACGCCACGTGACGGAAACGCTCTTGTTCACGAGATTGCTAAGGACATTAAGACTATGATGGAGTCCAAGATCTCGGCTATCAGAGTGCGATTCTTTTATTTCATCTCATTTACGCTAAAATTCTTAATAACATTGGATAGATTTAATTCTTTATTATTATTGAACTTATTATTTTATTTAAAGCATAATTGCAAATTATAGTCATTTGAGCATATTAGGCAATTTTGTTTTTGCTTTCAGAGGATAATGGACGTGGCAGAAATGTCGGCGTTGTCATCACCCGACGTGGATCCGCCGAAGTCCTTCGAGTTTATCGACGCAAAGAATAATAGTATCAACCTTGAGTATAGTCCTCACTTCGGTGGTGATGTGAACCTCAATATGTCAGCGGTGCACGTACCCACGAATGTGTATGATCGCGCTTCGAATGTCATCCGAGCAATTAAATGGTCCGAGGAACTCGATCGTACTTTCATCAATAATTATGAACATGATCCATCATTGTCCTGGCAATACTTCGGCAGCGCGACTGGTTTCATGCGTCAATATCCTGCCACGAATTGGTTCGTAGAGTCAGTGGATTTATTCGACTGCAGGACGAGGAGCTGGTACATTGAAGCAGCCACCAGTCCAAAGGATATTCTTATTCTGATGGACACGTCTGGTAGCATGACTGGTATACGACGAGAAATTGCTAAGCACGTTATAAATAACATCCTTGATACCCTTGGTAACAATGACTTCGTCAATATCATTACATTCTCTAATGAAACTAAAGAGGTAATAATCAATCGACAAAATTAAATTTATCAATCTAAAAGAACGAAAAAAAATATAAATTAAATTAGTAGAGTGATATTAATTGATATTTATTAATGAATTTGCAGGTAGTATCATGTTTTGATGGCACCTTGGTCCAGGCAAATTTGGCAAACGTACGCGAGCTGAAGAGAGCTATTTCGAATCTCAATACAGAGAGGATCGCCAACTTTTCTCTGGCCTTGACGACTGCTTTTGAGTTACTTGAAACATTCCGCAACGAGCGAGAAGGTGCAAGATGCAATCAGGCAATCATGCTAATCACCGACGGTGTACCATACAATTACAAGGATATTTTTGAGGCATATAACTGGAAGGATAATCCAGATGAGCCGTTGAAGGCCGATATGCCTGTTAGAGTATTTACCTATCTAATCGGTCGAGAGGTTGCAGATGTGCGGGAAGTGCAATGGATGGCTTGCGCCAATAGAGGATACTATGTACATTTGTGTACGCCGGCGGAAGTCAGAGAAGAGGTCAGTTGATTGAAATTACTTTCAAGTCTGACAAATAAAAAAAGTTTCTAAAGAATTAATATTTGATAAAAATAATTGGAAAAAAATTACTGTTAAAACTGAAATAGACAGTCGTAATGCTAAATTTACAAATCATAGAAGTTTTAACATGGAAGATTATGGGCGAGTCTTTTCGAGATGCTCGAATGAATAAACTAAAATTGACATAAAAATAATAAATGAATAAAACTTTTACTGGAATATGAAAATCTATCTTGCTTCATCATAATGACTTTAGATTTCAATAAATTAAAACTTCAGGTTCTTGAAATAATACCAATAAGGAAAATAGAATGTTGAGCGATTGAGAGCTCTCACTAACGCGATACTTCGTGCGTGATAAAATATATTACAAATATTACGATCAACTAATGTATTTGTAAGATCTCTGAAACCATCTTCAGCGATGCCAATAATTACTTCAAAACATAAATCGCTGAAGATGGCTCGAACGGAGCCGAAACATCCGATCAACTAATTTGGAAGATCTCAGAATATAGAATTTTATCATTAGTAAGTGCTCTCTGCATCACTGTATTAGTAAGTGCTCTCAATCGCCTGTTCTCCTTAGTTGTATTAGATTTATTAAGTTTTTCGAATTTGCTAGGTATTGAAGTATGTACCGGTGATGGCGAGGCCCTTAGTGCTAGGTCGCACGGATCATCCTACTATCTGGACACCCGTCTATGCCGACGTGACTGATCCAAAAATGACCGATTGGTTATGGGAGCAACGCGAAAATGACGAACAGAAAAATCGCTTTTTGCTCTATCAAAGAAATAAGAAGTTTCTCAACTCAGAGGAACAGGATCGGCGATATGTGAGCAATCAGAAATGGCGGTATGATCAGATCGATCAAACCAAAGAACTGCAGGAATACAAACTAATGACTTCGGTCAGCATGCCAGTGTTTGATCGACGTGATAACGCGGTAAGATTTGTGTGTATTTGTCCGTTATTTTATAAATAAAGTTCAAAATTGACCGGCAAAAGGATGACAGTCGTGCGTTTCGTACGTTGTCGAAAAGACAGCCTAAAGGTTAATTAAGATTTCCTTATGTTGAAATAAAATGATAGTTCTCTTCAGCATTCATTATCAAATATCACTCACTTTTTTCTTTCTGTTGTCTGCGCTTTCATATGCCTTCACATTCTTCGCAACATTTTTGTAAATTCTCTCAATATCTCAAATGGTGTAAATGTGATTTCTTCATTAATACCCAAAAATGTTAAACGAGACAAAAGTCGCAAAATTCGCGAATCACGTTTCCTTGAGGAGTATATATTCATGCTGCACTTGCTTTGGTTTTAAGTTCCTCTTTGTCCACAGAACATCACAAGGCAGGTGCTGGTGAATGAAGCATACTGGGTGACTGAAACAAGAGAGGTTGGCAGCTAAACAAAAAAGTCAAGCAAAATTATTCTATGATGCATATAGTACATCCTGTATCTTTATCTTTCGTTTTCGTGCAATCGACGACCTACGACCTTATCTTTGCTATCACTCTTAATTGTCGTTTTATGGACTTTAATTTATTACTCATTGGATTCGTAAAACTTTGAAGAATATTTACTTTGAAAAAATATTATTTAAACAACATTGTAATCATTTTTATTTTTTTGTCTCTATTAAGGAACGAAATATTTTAATCTATTAAAATCTTTAAGCTATTAAATGTATAAAAAATATAATCGCGATGTAAATGATGCTGGAACAAGGTCGTAGATGCACATAGATCTCTTTTAGGTCCACATTCGACTCTCTGATATCTTATGTTGATCTCTAACGTTAGTTACTGGAATTATTTCAAATCATTAGGTAGGTTTAGGTACGTTAGTCTACCCTGTGTCCTGTCGAGACGAGTAGAAAAAAAGGCAAAGTTCTGTCCGCCTGTTGGATTGCGTTCGGCGAAAAATAATATCCTCGTAAAGATTGATTCGTAGAGATCGTTCTGCAGTGACTACTATATATCTACATAATGAAAGAGAGAAATATTAACTGAAGGAGCAAGCGAATGGATTTTCAGAAACAATTCTCGTTAATAAAATTAAAATTATATTTTTAACAATTTTTTATAGAGAATTTTGAAATTAGATTTTATAAAAATGAAAATAATGATGATTTACTTTATATAATGATAATTATTATTTTTTCTAAACACTTGCTCCTTTTATTACAAGTAACAGCAGGCACGCACGTACATGAATAATATGAATTTTGGCAATTTATTGAGTGCTAGATTTTGTTAGTCAGAAATATTCGTAGATCTAATTCAAGCGACGACCTCTCAAAATTATCTTAATTAATCTTACATACACGCATGTACATATCTTGGGTATGAATTGAACAAAAAATTTGATTGCATAAGTTGGTTTAATCTGTATTATTTTTATAACATCATCAAATAAAATATAGAAGTAAAATATTTTATTAAATTGTTTTTTATTAAAAACGAGAAAAAAAAGGAAAGAAAGGTCGTCACTTCGAAAGAACAAAGCTAATTGTTACTTAAACTAACACTTAGGGTAGCCTGCGTCAGATGTTGTTATTATTTATATAATTAATTATAGAGAGAATTTGTTGTTTAATTATTATAGAGTTTTCATTGTGTATCGTTATTATTATTATTATTATTATTATTATTATTATTATTA